ATACAAGTTGCAACTACATCATGAAAACACTTTGTTTATCATGCATTCTGGTCGTCTCTTTTAGCAATACACAGTTGACTTATATATTAAGATTGAAGCGCAAAGGCTTGATTATTACCGCAGTAAACAACGTGAATATCGCGGGGACACATATTGGGGTTTTGTTGACAGCGGTGGCGCAGGTATAAATGACGCTAACAACGTTGGCCGGCGTGTAATGCTACCTGGATCATTCATTTGCGGTCCGCGTGACATGCATGGTCGGTATATGGACGCAATGGCACTTGAACAGAATTATGGTAAACCAGATTTTTTTATTACCATTACTTGCAACCTAATTGGCCTGAAAGCAAAGATCAACTGACCTTCGTTGATGAAGCTCAAAATCGACCCGATCTTGTTTCAAGTGTGTTTCGGGCATGCCTCGAAGAATTCAAAAAAGACATTATCGCAAAGGCTTTGTTTGGCAAGGTGGTCGCATACACATACGTTATTGAGTTCCAAAAGAAAGGTCTTCCTCATGCTCATTTTCTACTGATACTGTCTAGGGAATGGAAGATATCAACTTCTTCCCGCTGTGATCTGCTAATTACTACTGAACTGCCAGACCCTGCTTCATCTCCTGAGATGTATCAATTTGTGAAAAAACATATGATACATGGCCCTTGTGGTGAGATGAACCCACAATGTCCTTGCATGGTTTTGGCACGTGGTTCTAGATCGTCAAAGTGCAAGAGCAAATTTCCACGCAACTTTTCTCCTGTCATAGTTTTTGATGACAACGGTTTCCCCACATATAGGCGGCGCAATTCAAAAACTACTGTCAAAGTGAGGAAACATTGCCTTGACAACCTATGGGTTGTCCCTCATAATGCCCACTTATTACGCAAGTACGATTGCCATATAAATGTGGAAGCTTGTGCAAGTGTGAGGTCGGTTAAATACATATATAAATACGTGTACAAAGGGCATGATAGAGTCAGCATGTCGTTATCGGAAACAATTGAAGATGAAGTAATTGATGAGATTTTTGATTTCCAAAAAGCCGGGGGGGTTTCTACTCCTGAAGCTGCGTGGCACATATTTAGCTTCCCAATCACGAAAATGCGTCCTGCCGTTCTTCAACTGCAAGTCCACTTGGAGAATTCTCAATATATTACCTTCTATGGTAACCAACGCATAACGTACATTACAGAATCTACTGATTCAATGAAAACAATGCTCACACAATTCATTACCATGAACATGTGTGATCATGCTCCAAAAAACCTACAACCCTTTTACGTTGAATTCCCTCATTACTTTGTCTCGAATGGACAACGTAAGGAATGAACTCAGCGCAAACGAAAGGAAGTCATCAGAAGGCTTGTGTCTGTGAATCCCATGGAAGGAGAGCGTTACTATCTGCGACTCTTGCTTTCCAATGTACGTGCCCCAACATCATTTGGCTATCTCAAAAAATGGCAATGATGACATGCCCACATATAGGGCTGCAGCTGAACGTTTGGGCTTGTTATCGGGTGATTTTGTGATACGTGCATCACTTGATGAGGCAGTCTTATTCCAGCTATCATCCAGCCTTCGCAGATTATTTGTCACTCACTTGTTCTTTTCAGACGTACCGACCCCACGTTCACTTTGGGAAGAATACAAGATCCATTTGTGTGAAGACCTCGCTAGGTTTCAACCAACCCTGATTGCTGAAAAGGCTGCACTCATAGTGCTACACACTATTTTTGCTGAAATGGGTAAAGATATTGACTCCTTTATTTTGGTGGATGTTGAATTGCATGAAACTATCTCTGGAGGCGGCACACGTGAGGTGTTCACGGAACTTAATATCGTTGTCAGTGATGCAGACCTCAATGGCATTTCAACATTAAATACTGAACAAAAAAAGTGTTTGACTCCATCATGGTGGTTGTACACGCTTGTAAAGGGGGTGTCTTCTTCGTTGATGGTCCTGGGGGAACCGGGGAAAGCTTCTTATACAGATGTTTACTCGCTGCAACCAGAACAAACACGTTGATTGCGCTTGCAACTGCGAGTTCAGGTATTGTTGCGTCAATTCTTCCTGGAGGCCGCACTGCCCATTCATGATTCAAATTACCGCTTGATGGGGAATCTAAGTACACTTGCAATATTGGCAAACAACCTTGTGAAGCACGACTTCTGAGAGAAGCACGCCTTATCTTATGGGATGAGGCGTCTATGGCAAACCGCCTAATAGTTGAAAGCTTTGATACTACAATGAGAGACTACTAGATGTCGACGCTCTTTTTGGAGGCCGGGTTATCGTGTTTGGCAGAGATTTTAGACAAACATTGCCGATTGTCCATTCCGGCAAAAGACACGACTTCATAGATGGGTGCCTGCTTAGATCCATTACAATATGGCCGCATGTACACCGGTTACGCCTTGTTCAAAACATGCATGCTCACGAAGATCCTGGATTTTGTGACTACCTACTACAGATTGGCAACAGAACTGAACCCACTACATTTTCAGACCGTATCAAAATCCCTTCCAATTTTCTTCTTCCCTGGGTCAATGAAACTATCTCTCTGGATTTGCATTTTACTGTTGTATTCCCAGACCTAAGCTTGTTTAAAAGTGACCCTTACTCTCTGACGTCCCGCGCCATACTCACAACAAAGAATGACATAGTAAACTTTATCAATTCATCTTTGATGCATAAGTTCCCTGGAGAAGAACACACATTTCTTAGTTATGATGTTCATGTTGACTCAAAGAACACACACTGTGAAGATTATTTACACACCCTATCCCCCACTAGATTGGCCCACCATAAATTGACATTGAAGCACAATTGCCCAATCATGTTACTTCGAAATCTTAATCCATGTGAAGGTTTATGCAACGGAGCCCGTTTACTTTGTGATTCATTTGGGGATCACATTCTAAGCTGTTACATCGCTGCGGGTGACCACAAGGGGTAACATGTCTTCATACCTAAAATTCCCCTTGAAATTTCAAGGGATGAAAACTGCCTTATTCCATTCAGGCGCACCCAATTTCCTGTGAAGGTTTGCTTCGCAATGACAATTAACAAATCACAGGGACAAACACTTGATTTCGTTGGCGTATACCTAAAAGAACCTGTTTTTTCTCACGGGCAACTTTATGTTGCGATGTCAAGGGCTCGCAGTGTAGATTCCATTAAAATCATCATTTGTCCTGATGATCCCAACCCAGTGCTGGCTCATACAACACCTAACATTGTATATGATGAAATATTACCTTACATTAACTAGGTTTGTACATTGATTGTATGTTTAATTTTATCACTATTCATATTTACGTTTCTTAAGTATTGTAGATTACACTGATTTACTCGCTAATGCAGTGCACCAGTAAAAACATGACATCCGAACTGCGTATCCTATCTATCAGGCCAGAAACTACACCGTGGACCTGCCGCATCACAGTGGTGGAAAAACAAAATGTGCGGATCGCAAAAGCTTCCCCCTTAAAGTTTATGCCAATGATACTAATGGATTCTGCTCTATGTTTGTACCTTTTTTCATACTACAACTATTCACTACGTCTGACCTGTCCCTTTTGCTGACTCTATGGGTTTATTCTTTACAAGGCAATAGAGTTCAGGCTACTGCATTCAAGGGGGACATTGAAGGAATAGATCAACGCCTTGTGTTATACTCTACCTACCTTGTTTCAAATGCTTACGCAAAACCAATCACTGATATGCATTTTTGTGTTGACGAAGAGTATCCATATGTGTGGTCATTCACAAGACGCACTTTGATTCAAGATGCGACTACCGAGGAAGGACATGACTTCCGTCAACTGGTTGAGGCAGACACCACCCCTTTTACTGACATATATACTTCTTACTTATACTAGGAACATATCAGTAAGTCTCTCTATTGCATGTATACATATCTGTGATCATGACTTTTGGTTTTTATGTAATATGTTCTGAACGCACAACAAAAAATGCAGATGTTTTGACTGCATGTGTAAAGAAGTTTCCCGCACCTTTGTGGGATGTCAATGTGGGATGTTTTCCAATAGCATTCAGAAACCAGCGTGGGATGTCATCCTGCTTGATTCACAGTACGCACGTCCATCATCTACTTATCTTCCATATATTATTCCCCCCCCCCCCCCCCCGCACTCGTTTAATCTTTACGCTTTCATTGCACAGGTGCATTCCAATTCCATTCACTATGTGGGAGGATTTCATCACCTGCCACGGTTGTGAAATTGACAAGCGCCTGCAGGCTGGTGGGTTCCCCCTTGTTCTGATTAACAGGGCTGTCATCAACCTTTTCCAAGGTTGCACCAACATCTCTGTCAACTTTGGCACATTCTGCCACAAATGTTGTTCATTCATGCTAAACAATCTTCATTCATTCATTGTTTTGTTACATTGGATCTGAAATGCTTAGGTTTGTCTCTTTCAACTCGTTTCGACTGCCATGTAGAGCTCAACCCTGACGGAGAACGAGCATTAAGATTGAAAAAATGGTACCTGCCCATTCCCTTATCCACACATTCAGATCGCTATCAAAGACTTTACAAAAAAAACTTCATGAATTGCTTACCTTTCTATGTTCTCGCAGGATTGGTGAAAACAAAGACCAAATCAGTGAAGTATTACATGCACGCAAATATGACGACGCACTCGCAGTAATTGCCAAACCTCTTTCACAAACACTGACTGTTATTGCAGACTTGGAAACTTCCCTTAATGAGGTATGTTCTATTGGGAAAAATACATTTCTAAAATTTAGTTTGCTCTAGCCCACCTTTAACAATTGGCTTTCCCTGTTCCCAACGCACAGGCCCGTGCTGTGTGGGTTTTTGGGAAGTTCCATTTGTGAGATACTACGGAAGTGGGCTTTTACATTCGTTGTGACTACTGCAACCGCAGAGTCCATGGCCCAGAAGGTGCAAGTTTTCAGTGTCTATTCTGTGGCCAAAAAACGGCACTACTGTTAAAAGGTACATCCATCCATTAACATGCATTGTATTTGTGCACGGAACGTTTCCTGAAACTTTGTGATACATACAGGTTCAGGCTCAACGCTTCATTTGGTAATGAGGCCAGCATTAGACCTGTGACCCTTTTTACCAGTGATGTAATACAGTTGCTGAAATTTGCAAAAATGGACACAGAAGATGACATGGACTTGGAATCTTTTAATGCAAAACTGCAAAACATCACCATTGTGTGTGGAATAAAAAGATCCAAATCCAATGATGAAGGCCTTCTAGGCAATCTATACACTGTAGTATGTGTTACTCTTGTTGAGGAAACTCTTGTTAACGACCATGCTCCACCAGAAACTGAAATTGTCCCATCAACCCCTGCAAAGAGGAAACTGAGCTTTAAATCCCTAGAAGAATTGCCTAATTCACACACATCCTCATCAACCACAGCTGCACTGCACATGGGTAATGTTTCAGAAGATCCGCTTACAACTTTGTGTCCCAAAAAACACAAAACTGCCAACGAGTGATGTGTTGTGGATACATTTTTTGCAAACACGGGGGTGATCGATGCAGTCCTAAAATAAAACCTCGTTTGTACAATGACCAGCCACCTACATTTTTTGTGATGCCCCCCTTTTTTGCCCTCTACAGTAGTGTATACTAGGCAGGAAGTAATAATACTGATGTTCCTTTATTTGCTACTTGGTGATGCATATGTCTGCGCTGTTCATTTTGACATATGTAATGTAGTTCTCAGAACACTTTGTAAATACGAACTCTATTTTGCTTCCCTAGCGTGGAAATATAAATAAGCCTTCGTGTACATTTTGATTTCATATGTATAGATTGGATGTTTTTTACGATGTTTTATGCAGTGTGACATTATACGAAATTCCCTTGTTTGCTCGGCATAATTCAAAACAGGTACGCTCTGTGTCGTTTACCATGTTTGTGTATGACATTTTTACACCCTACCACTTGTTATTTTGCAGCCTACAAAATAATTTTTTTAATTTTTTTTTAAACTACTTGTTTTATGTAATTATACTTATTCTTCCTGCATCCATTTACGAAAAAAAGACATGTTTTACTCTGTTTTGTACTTATAAACTATTACCCAATACAACTCTATCCATTAGTTTCCCAATACAAATTCCACTTTCCCCACCGCCCCACAAATATGATTCCTTTTGGGTTGAACCCATTCACTCTTATAAGCACTGTGCCCATAAAGACTTACTCATTGTGTAACTAGCTTTTTTTTATATAAATTAAAAGCACTACAACAATTAATTTACACGTGCATGAACACCCAATCACCTAACAGTTGCCGCCCATTCTTATCCCAACGTATTCCTTCAACCCACCGTTTCCCTTCTTCCTACACTTCCCAGTCATCCGCTCAGCCTGTCCCAGTCGTCTCACACTCCCCTTGGTACAACACTCATCGCAGGTAATTTGTTCACCCCAACCTTCACACTCCCTTCCATGCCCGCATACTCTCTGGTCTTCCCTTTTTATTATTTCCATGCTTGCGATGTTTTTATGAAGGGAGGCCTCACCCTTGTTCAAGGGTGTCCACCTGAACACCCAAAAGTTTTATTTTTTAGTAGGAAAACTATGATGTTTCCATCATTTACAAAACGCTAACTTCATATACAAAACTTTGACTTCATGTACCTTCAAATTGAAATGAATATTAGCAGTGCGGTGTCATGTTCATATAGAATGCTCAATTTTAGTACTCTTTAAGAATTAAGTCCACCTTGTATATTAGCTTACCTCTTTTAGATGTGAGACGCCTTTGTTACTAACTCATTCGTGTTAATATTAGTGAAATGCTGAAGAAACGTCTACTTTATCTATCAAAGTCTATTTATTTAAACATGTTTGACATACAACAAAATATAAAAGAATAGTTGTAGCAATTTATTCTATTTTTTAAATATATTACCATATTATGCATTACTTTATACTCAAATGTACTAATTTTATATTGGCAAAGATACAACTGTAGAATAGGTGCATCACCCAAGATTATTGTTTTTAATTTTAATATTAAAGTAATTTCAAACACCCAAAATGCAAGTGCTAGATCCACTACTGGTTGGTATGCCGGTAAAGGACAACATTATACATGAAAAAAGAGTGTTGTTACACCAGCGCATCCCTTCGCTTTCTTTAACGATTTAAGTGCTGGTGTTCATGTTTATGTGTTTTAATGTTTCATTTAAACATGGGACTGCACTGAATTTATATATATCACTTCCTTAAACTATCAATACTTGGATGCATAGGTAGCTTCATTTAAGGGTAACACGGGTACATCTACAGACTTCATTGACCTCAAAATATATTCGACCATCTTCAAAAACCAAACAACACCCTTATAGAAAACCAAATTTGTGAATTAAATCCAAACAAAACTGACCATATAAAATCAAACATGATTTGAAGTTACCTTCTTTAAATTAGAAAGTGCAGGTGGGTGTCTTCTATCATATCCATGGAGGTATCCTCTCCTGGGAAATCAGTTCTTCCGGAAAAACCTAATTAACTAAAGCTAAAGAAATAAGAAGTTGCAAAAAGCCAAAAAACTGTTTCGTTCATTCCAAATTAGCTCAGGAATATGATGTGAAAAGCACAACCTTATCCAAAGAAGAACGTGAAATAGGAAAAGCCCTCAACCCTATCCCCCCGAAATGGTTTACTGAATTCTGCTAACTTATTTACCTTTCCCAGCTTAATGGACCTCTTCAGCGCTTGTACTATTCAAACTGCCACGGACAATGCAGGTGCTACCACCATGAGCTACTTTCTGCACACTATACACAGAAGGAAGGTTGTTGTTGGTGTTCTAACTCAAGCCTCCACTCCACCAGCACCTACAACTGTCATGCAACCATAGAGTGGCAGCACTTCTTGACTACCTTGGGCTTTGACAGACTGCTGCCTGTACGGTTCAGAAACAAGGCTGAGCTCGAGCACAAGATTAACCATTTTTGAGACGTGGTCTTATATTACCCCCGCCCGGAGGTGACTTCCCTATCCCTGTTTTTACTTCATTTGCGCACTACCCCTTTTATTTGCTTTGCCATTGCACAAATACAATTATTTTAAATTCTTTCACGTTTCTTGTTCATCCTTTGTAGCATGTCCACTGAATACCACAATCCATTACCCCGATGTCTTGCAATTCTCCCTGGTGTGGTGCATACTCAACATCCAGGATTTCGACGATGCGGTAAATTCAATGCACTTACACTTTTTGGATGTTTGCATGAGTACTACATCTACGCTGCAGTGCTGACTTGTTTTGGTTTTTACTTTTGCTTTAGCACATCCCTCCTTGCATGCACCGACATTTATTCGAGCATACCAAACCACAGTTTGTGCTCAGGTATGGATCCGGTTCTTGGACGCTACCTGTTGAAGACTACACTCTGAAAGGCAACTTTGCTGATTTCCCTGTCGAGAATGAAATTCCCTTCGAGACCCACCTCCTGCTCCGCCACATCGGCAATTTCACCTTTGACGTGCTAACATTTGACACAGAAGGCTTCTCCCGGAAACTAGGTACCCCGCCCGATGCTACCTTCGACTCTACACTTCATGGAGGTATACTTCCTACACATTCATGACACCTTTTCACGTACCAAATTCCTTTAACACCAAGCCTTTACAAAATGTGTACGATTCTTTCTATTCCACTTGCAATACAGATCACTTCTTTGTATACGTGCAATCTGCAATTCCAAACTGGTCGTACAGGAAATTGTTTTGCACCCCATCATTTATTTATGTACCCACAAAAATTGGATCGGTACGACCTCTTTTTCGCAGATTATCATTTCAAATTATCTTGTTTGGATGACCTCTTTGTCGGTCCTTCGAAAAGGTCCAAACAAACTGTCTTAAAGAGTTCCTTATTTTTGCCTGCAGTCAACTTGTGAAGCGTTTCTAAATACATGTTGTGATCAAAGAGGCCAGATTCTGATCTTGCATGGCACAGACGAGGACCACTTTCTGGGCGGTGAAAATGATCTCCTGCAAGAGATTCAGTCTACTTTCCACATTGACCCGAGCTCCACCCTTGCATTTTTTTGAAATGGTCGTGGCAGAGTAGGGATGGAGCGGTCCCGGTTCGAGCCTGGGCCCGACCGGGCCTCGATTCATGAAGGGGATGCCCGGAACCGACCCGGGTAACCCCCAGGTCCGGGCCGGGTCGGGCAGGGCCGGATCGGGCAGGGCCGGGCAGGGCCGGGCCAGGCCTCGGTTCTATTTTTTTTTGGCTTTTCCTAGTTAACCCACAACCCTCCCCCTCACCCCCAAACCGACCCTAACCACCTCAAATGGCCCAAAATACCCAACCCAACCCAAAAACTTAAAAAACAATCAAAAAAAAAATTGACCCAGCCCGAGCCCGAACCGGCCGGGCCGGTTCACCTTTTGAAGGGCCCGAGCCCGAACCGCCATCCCACCGGGCCTGGTGGCCCGAACCGGGACCGGAACCGGTTCACCGGGCCGATTGGCCCAGCCCGAGTCCACCACTATGGCAGAGTTAGCCTCCTTACAATTTCAGCGTGCGGTGTTGAGGAACCACCTCGCCACAACCACACATAGAAATCGAAAGCCTTGTCTGCACTCACCAAGATGGTCACGCTTAAATACTCTTCAATATAATATTCACATGGAATTGATGTAGTCCTACTTTGACTGTTGTGTTTTGTTTCTCCTAGACCTTATTAGATCAATCTTGTTACACTACCTCTTCCAATTACTTAACCATGTGGTTTGCTGACTTGCAAATACTAAACTGCTACTTTATGGTCATGATTCATGAACAATGCAAAACTGCTATTTTTTTGCTCTTACAGTCTTACTATACGACGTTTTTAATTCCTTTCCCCTATCCATTTTCCATTGTTGGGCATTCACCCTCGCGCAACGCGCGTGGTGCTGCTAGTCTAAATGATATGCATGTACATATCACGAGACATTCAGACATAATAAAGGAGCTAAAGGGATGTATTCACAAAGTTTAGAATTTTCAAGAAAGAGGGACTTTATGTACAACATGCTTCCATCAATTGTTGCCAGAAAACTGTACAGGAGAGAAATCTGCATAATGGGAGAATATAGTATACACTAAGACCAGTTAAAACTTCCATCATTTCCATTGTACCATCAGAGAGCGATCAGGAAGGGGGTTGAGAGTGAATGACGGTGGTATCCGGTAACATGGCCACAGTTACAATGAAGTATTCACAGCCAACCGGGAGATTATAAGGAGTTGAAGTTGGTCCGGAATTCATGCGGCCTGTTTGGGTTGATTGCCTGATAGTCTGTCGTTCTATATGTACCACCTGCCCGACAAT